TCATTGTTTGGTCACAGGCAAAAAGAAGGTATCCTCAAGAAAAGCGTGACTCTTCTTGGCAGATGTTTTTCTCAGTGTTGGTTTGTTCTATGTGCAGTGGGCCAAGAAAGCATGAATCTTTTTTGGATAAGCCCAAGATTGAAAAGGAGAAATCAGTTTTTCGAGTGGAGTGAAGTTTGGCGTTCTGACCATTTTTTTGGGCCTTTGATTTAAGGCTTGGCTTCTGACAACTTTTTTCAGATCTCGTTGACCTGGGATGGTGCTTATGTGGGGGATGGGGGGATGGGGGGGGTGGGGGTTGGGGATGGGGGGATGGGCAACTTTTCGGATCCAGTTTGCCACACAAAACGGATCCATTTGCTTCTAACTGGGCGACAGCGTGCAGTCCTTCCGTCTCTCACCGGCATATATTCTTCATTTCAGTAAGCAACTCCCGGAGTTGAACCTTCTAGGAATTTTGCTCACACAACCTCCAAGTAAGCAAAACATGTTTTTGCAAAAAGGTTGCAAACAGCAAGCGGATTACAAAGTCGTATCTGACCCAGTGGCCTAACGGGCAAAGAGTTGCTTTTGCTTTGCAGAGTTTGTGTCCTCCCCCTACCCGTTTGGGTAGGGCTTTCGGCGCCAGCAATCATGGAGGTTTAAATCCTTCCTAAGTCGTCTTGATTTATTGCTTGGTTGCTGATTTGTTGTTTTGTGTTTATTGTTGGCATTGGTGCTTTTGTTTCTGTTGTTTTGTTGTTTTGGTTGTTGTCTTGGTTGTTGTTTTGGTTGTTGTTTAAACTTGGTTGGGTTGGTTTGTTTGGTCGGTTGTTTTGCTTGCGTTGCATGTTTGTTTGTTTGTTTGCTTGCTTGCTTGTTTGTTTGCTTGCTTGCTTGCTTGCTTGCTTGTTTGTTGGCTTGTTTGCTTGCTTGTTTGATTGCTTGTTTGCTTGCTTGTTTGCTTTTTTTGTTTGCTTGTTTCACACAAGGTCTCACACATTTTGGCCGGACAACTGCTTTGAAGCTGATGGACATAGAACCCAGGATACATTTAGGCCAGACAACTACTTTTAGGCCAACTCCTGACTGCGGGGAACCATGCCAAAAAGGCAAGCCCTGGCCAAAGTTTGCTGGTGCTCACTAGGAAATAAGGGAATGACCCCAGGCTTTGGAAAAGCAACCACCAGTTGGATGTTTTTTCTCGGGGTCAGACTCCATTTCTCATTCCCTGCATCTCTCGCACCAGCTAAAACCCATGTACAAAATAGGGAACAAGGTGGGTTGTGAACCATACGGACCCCTTTTCGGACGGCGGGCTCCACAGAAACCATGGCCTTCTTAAACCATGGCAGACAAGGAAGGCGAGATATTCTTCCATTTGCTTTTGGAATATGTTGTTATTTCCCCCTGTTGGTTTTGAAGGGAATCTGTCACTACTGGAAATATGTTTTTCTCCAGGTGACTTAAGCAAATGGATATAAATCGTTTTTTTTGAGAATAAAAGACAGTAGGTTGAACCATGGTGACCGGGGTTGTGGGATCAAGGGGTTTCTCCCCACTTGTGTGATACAAGGAAATCCCCCTTTATATGAACAAAATAGTCTTTGGGAAGACATTTCTGTTGTATCACAGAAGTGGTCATTCCCCACAGCCCTGAATGGTGACGGTACGCGAGATCCACTTGCAAAGCTGCTGCAGGGGGTGGCTGTGGCCGCTGTGGCGGCCGGGGGTGGCACTACCTGCGTCTTAGCGGATGGCGAGGTCTTCTGCTGCTCGGAGATCTGTTTTCTGGACGCCGCTGACGTTGCAACGTTTGTGTTTGGTCTCGAAATGGGGAAGCTCCCCAACTTTTGGCATTCTATGTTTTTTGTTTTTGGTTACAATCTTTTTAGTGTGCTGCAAACAAGCACAATTTGTTTTCCTTTAACGTATCTCTGGTGTGACTTTGATTGGGCCAGCCAGTCACTGTTTTCAGTGAAAACCAAGTGATTTGGCGGTTCTCATCAGAGGTCTCGCAAGTGGGGTTGGATTGGCCAAAACAAGCTTCAAAACGTGCCGATTCGGTGTTTGATGTGAGCAAATCGCCCAAAAGGAGAGACCTTTTAAGCCTACGAAGGGGGAAGAGCAACCCGGGGAATGTCAATGGTTAAACAAGCGGTTGGCCTAATGCCTGACAGTTTTCTAACCAGGGTGATGTGGGGGTTGAATTCTCATGAGTGGTTTGGACACGTGTCACTCGTTGCAGAGAGAATTGAGCGGATCAGATCTTGTCTAGCCCAGTTTGGTCGTACTTGTCAACGTTCCCCAAAGAGTCCTGTGGGCAAGGTATTCTAAGGGCCCAACTTGGCTCAAAGTACCCCACAATCTTGTTCTAAATATGGGTGTGGGTGAAAATAGGGGGACCCTCGAAACCCAAAACTGATGGGTTTCCTTTTGGTCTTCTTTTAAAACCAGCCCCATGGAGTACCCTCCAAAAGATTTAGGCTCTTGTATCATGTCAATTCAAGAGTCTTCCATAGGAAAGAGCAGGAAGCTTCAGCTCCCCCCCAACTAAGTTTCAAAGCTAGCTTGGCTTGATGACCAGTGACCAAGTGCTTCACATGGCTATGAAGTTTGATGAGGAACCACCTCAAAACTGGTTGGTGGACGTGAATCCCCACCAAAGTCTGATGTCCACCATTTCGGGTCCGGGACCCCTTGAAGATCACACCCCTATTGGTTCTTTCAAAGCGTCTTCTTCCAAAAGCAGATGTAGTGAGGGGGTGCAACCCACCGACCCACTGGTTTGTTTTCAAAGAGCGCCTAACATGGGTGGTTTCTCTTCGGTTTCTCTTCAAATCATCCTAGGAACCGCTACTCTGAACCCCAACGCACCCCAACGTTGCGGTTTCTCCTTTCTGTAGCTCTTTTTCTAATACTTGTTCATCTTAAATTAATTTTCCTTTCTTATTTCCTTCATTCTACCTCAGATTCAAGACTGGATTTGGGATAAAGGGATCTACAATATGAAAAAGACAGATATTCATTTCCTATCTTTATATGACTTCATCCAATATTTCTTTGTCAAATAATTCAAGGATGTCTAAGGTAGGAAATGGTGATGAATGAAGATTCCAGTCCTCAATCAAATGCTTTCTCTCGGTCACGTCTACATCCTGGAATTCATATCCCTTTCCTCCAACCCAACCAAATGATTTTTAGAAGAATGTGATAAGAGAGAAAGATGACATAGAGAAGAGAGAGATATTAGGAAAGGAAAAAGATAAGAAATAAATAGAAAATAGCCCCCATTGTGTGTTGTCTGCCAGGGTTCCCATATTCATAAACAGGGCTGTATTCATGGGTCACCATTACTTGGTGTTTCCCACCAGGGGTCAGCAAAAATCCGGGGTTCCCTGGGTTGGATCTTTAGACTTTAACTTTTTGGTTGAAATCATTTGGGGTTTTCCGTATTAAACCCCCCAAAAAGTGATTCACGTTTTGCAGGGGGGTCGTTCCAGCAACCAAGTATAGGAAAGGGACCCCCAAAATGGGTGGGTTTCCTTTCAGCAGAGAGGGACCCCCAAGTATTTTCCCACCAGGGGTCAACCAAAATCGAGAGTTCCCGTAATAGACAAGGGCCCATTGGCCGCCGTTTTTTGTCAGGGAGGGACCCCCAAGTATCGGGCGCAAAGACAAGAAGGGAAAACCTTTTTGCTTGTTGTGGTTTAGTGGTTGAAATCCAACCACTGAACTGCTGGAATTTTCACATTTTTGCCACGTCAACCAAGGCCTTGAGATGTTTATGTCTTCCCGTGTTTTTGTGACCATTCTCAAATACCCCCTTCCAACGTTCCCCTAACCCAACGTCAACCAAGTGAAAGTGACTGGATGAGTTCCGCTGCACCAGCCTCGCGGTTCAAATGAAATGAGCTTAAAACCCGGGCTCTTGTCGTAAAGCAAGCATACATGGAGATCTCGAGGGGTGGTTTTCCCTTTCCAACTTGAAACACCCAAAACGACTCCAGGAGCCAACGTCAACCATTGGAGAAACCCTTCGGCTCGAGGCTTCGGCTTCAACCTCCACGGCCAGTGCGACGTGCCGCCCGAAGCCGCGCCACACGACGCTCAAAGGGCCCAAACGGCCCAAAGGGAGCCGCCAGCGGTGCCCAGCGAGGTGGGGGACGCGCGAGACACGGCGGTTTTGCTGGAAGACCGGGTCCCAAAAATTGGACTTCGAGGGTCCCTTTACCAACCAAAACCGAGTACCAACTCGAAAACAAGAACTATACACCATCCAAACACCATCCAACCCTATGGCTTCCTTCGAGGGAGTTCTTTGGGCCCTTCCCAAAAGGCGTACCCCCACGCGAAAACGAGGACGACACCTCGGGGGCCCCAAACCCCCCAGCGGCAGGTCATCGCGGAGGTGACGCATGAAGAGCCGCCGGCACAGATCAATGAGCTGGAGGCCTGGAGTTAGATGAAGGTTCGTCAGATCTGGTGTCTACATACACACATGGCTGTGGTTGTCAAAACCGTTTTGGGATCCCATTTTGGGGCGGGAACCTTTCTGTTGGTCGTGGGCAACCAAACAAACATGGCCATGGGTCAAAATCCAAATCGTGCCCCCAGTGAACATCCGATTCAATCCCCACTAAACTAGTCTAAAATGGGCGGTGAATTCACCTACCCCAAAATGGTACCATTAGTTTTGACCCACAGCCACATGTGAGCCACTTGCTCAAAACACGGGTAGATGAAGGGTTAGTAAGGGATAATCCCAACCATAAATAGCTGCGGAATTCCGCCTTCTTAATTCTTGAAGCATGGTTCTTAATTCGTTACACACATGCTACATATGGCTGTGGCTTAGAAAGTGGTAACCAAAATTGCCCCTTGGTAGATGGAACCAAAGACCGAACCCCGGCACTTTAAATTTGAGCCACACCCTGTACATGTATGTATATATTTGCCGTATGATGTTCTTTTTGTTTCTTCTTTTTTTCACATGCAAACATACATACATGCATACGTACAGACTGGCTTGCTTGCTTACCAATCCACGTACCTACCTTCCTTCCTACCTACCTACCTACCTACCTACTTTACCTACTGTACCTACTGGAACTACTGCAACTATTGTAGCTACTGTACCTACTGTGCCTACTGGACCTACTGTACCCACTGCACCTACTGTACCCACTGTACCTACTGTACCTACTGTACCTACTGTAACTACTGCAACTATTGTAGCTACTGTAGCTACTGTACCTACTGTACCTACTGTACCTACTGTACCTACTGTACCTACTGTACCTACTGTACCTACTGTACCTACTGTACCTACTGTATCTACTGTATTTACTGTAGCTACTGTAGCTACTGTACCTACTGTACCTACCTTCCTACCTACCTTCCTACCTACCCACCTACCTACTTTTCGCATGTAAAATAACGTACATACGTATGTACGTACATACGCACACATGTACTCACACACACACACACACGAAGACACATGCGCATACACACATACACACATAGACACACACACACACACATGAGCAAACACGCACACACATGACACACACGCAATACACACATACACACATACACATACATACATACATACACACACATACATACACACATACATACACACATACATACACACATACGCTACGCGCGCATACACACACACATACATACCTACTTACCTACCTACATACATACCTACATACATAGTTACATTACATACATACATACATACATACATACATACATACATACATACATACATACATACATACATACATACATACATACATACATACATACATACATACATACATACATACATACATACATACATACATACATACATACATACATACATACATACATACATACATACATACATACATACATACATACATACATACATACATACATACATACATGCATACATACATGCATACATGCATACATGCATACATGCATACATGCATACATGCATACATGCATACATGCATACATGCATACATGCATACATGCATACATGCATACATGCATACATGCATACATACACACATACACACATACACACATACACACATACATACATACACACTTTGGGCAGATGATAGTGATGTCACGTGTCGGCGGGTTGGCAACGCCACCTATGATGAAGTTTCTGTAAGTTTTCCTTATGTTCGGGCTGTGATTATGTTAATTGGATTATCATTCTCCATATACATTAACCCATGTGACTATATGAGTATTATCACCCAATCACGGACTCAGGCGTGTTGCACCATTGATGCAGAACATGTGTAAAAGGTGGACAGAGTTTGAAAGTGGTGAAAGTAAACACACCCAAATTGCTAGACTGTGTCGGTTTGCAGGGTCAGTCTTAGAATACTGAACAAATGTTTCTTCCTTGGAAAGGATGAGCAAGCCAACCTTGTATAAAACATGATTGAGCTTAAACAAATAAGGGTACTTGATTGATCCTTTGGAGTTTGGGTTGTGTTTGGGGATTGGACTGCGCACTTTCAGGAGGGGGCTTGGTCTTTTGAAAGCCTGCAACTAAACACCCTCCCACCAGTTGACATGGACCCTGACAGGAAAATGGTCCCTTTAAAAGGAAGATGGTCCAAGCCAGGACCCCCGAACGTCGAACGGTTCCATGTTTTTTAGGTGGGAGGGTCGGGGATCCCCAAGTTGGTTCTCAAAAAAACAAACTTTTTCTCTTTCGAACACTCAGGCAGCGGGATTCCACACCTTAGGCCTGTACAGGTCGAGCTCAACGGATTGCTCCGCTTGAGCTCCTGGATGGGAAAACCCGAAAACCAAATGGCTGTGTGTCAAAACCAATGGGGTCGCATTTTGGGATAGGTGCACCACCCATTTTATTCTATTTTAGTGGGGATTGGAATGTTCACTGGGGGTACGGGGTTTTGACCCATGGCCAAATAGCGCCGATGGTCAGCCAGGAGTTGAAAAACCAAGCGACAAAATGTTTTTTTTTGGGTATCCTCCTTGTCCCATGGAAATCTTTTGGCTGATTGGAGCCCCGCGTGCACCAACCAACTAGTTTTGTTGGGTTGTCCAACTTTTCGTCCCGTGATTCAAATCTTGAGAAAACCAAAACAAGAGAAAACATAAAGCAAAAAACAAAAAAACAGTTTGCGGCTTCAGAGCTTCAGGCCGCCTCTATCGTGGCCGAGCAGGAAGCCTCCTGGGTGCAGTACTCCGCGGACACGGCGGCTCGTTCGCGCACGTCGACCAACGTATGGGGTATGGGTCGAAACACACCGATGTCTCGTCCCTTTTTATTTCCCTTAAGGTGGTTTTAGACATCAGCTTTTTGGCCCATGAAAGGTGATTCTCGGGGACATGTGGAAATGGGTGAAAATTAAACCACCAGGAATTGGACCACAGGTTGTAGTCACCAGGGTGCCATTTTGGGAACCTATTTTTGACCCACAGGCATATTGTGTTCGGGGGACCTGTTTTTGGGAAGGTACCCTGTTTTGGTTGATCTCTTTAAAGGGAAGGGAAAGGAAAACGACTCATTAGGGGGTACCCTAGTTATTTCGGGGGACCCAAAGTGGGTGGTTCCCTTTGGGTTTTGTTTTTGGTAGGTAGGGTTCCTGTTTTCTTCCCTGGAATTAGCTCCTCTTTTTTTTTTGGGGGGGGCTTTTTGGGGGTCCCACTAACCAGGCAACAAATATATTTTTGGTTGGCTGGGGTCCTAGTGCCAGCCTAGGTTTTTGGTAGGTTCCTTTTTTGGGGTTGATCACTTTAAAGGGAGGAAAGGAAAACCACTCATTCAGGAGGGGGTGCCCTAGTTATTTTGCGCATTTTTGAACGGGGACCCAAAGTGGGTGGTTCCCTTTGGGTTTCCAGTCAGGACATGTGATTCGGGGAAGTAACATCGTTGCGTTTGGATGGGCAGCTTGTTTTATGCAAAAAGGGAACTGCAGCATGTTCGCCGTAGGCAATCTAGGTGGGGGGGCGTATGCTTGCGTAGGCATCCGCGTAAGGAAGACGCAAATACATGGCGCTCGCGTGCGTGTGCAGCGTGCACGGGGCCTGCACCCTCATGCGGTGTTTTGCGTTGCAGGCTTCGATGGTGCAAGGTGATGCGAGCTGCGGACACAAGTGGGCCGCTGGGGGTCTCGTTTTGAATCTCTGTACCCATTTAGATCCCCCTTATTTGGTTTGCAGGACATTCACAACAAGATGCGAAGATGAAAGCAGATGGCGCAATTCCCTCAAGACTTCCCTTTCTGTCGGTCATCAAGATTTCTCCCAACTGCACACAAAGGACATTGAACGACTTCACAGCTAAACCTTTCCAAGCGTTTCCAAGCAGCGCACTGTTGACCAATATTCCAACACGCCAGGCAGCCCAAGATCGATACCTGGTTGACGCCTTGACATGCGAAAGCCTCAACAAAGCGTGACCCCCACGCTGCTGGGACTCCAGAGATTTCGCAAGGCGGTTTTCAATGGGTTGCTTCAACGAGTGAGCGCCTAAAACCCTTGACCGATTGCTTGGTGCGATAGGGAATGAGTTGGAATGAGCCGGATTCCCGGAAGGAAACCACCAGCAAGAGATGGTTTATTCCGGGGTCATCCCACTTCTCATTCCATGAGCACCGGCGAGATGTAGAAGCGGTTTTTACGATTTGGTTCAATGAGGATATGGGCAAGCCATATTACATGGTTGTTGTTGGGAAACATTTTACATTTTTGCTTGTTGTGGTTTAGTGGTTGAAATCCCCACTCAACTGCTAAAAACAAAAATGTCGCTCCCCTTCCAACGTCAACCAAGATTAAGACCTGCCGAACCGAATCTTTGAAGCAGAAGTCTCGTGGCTTTTGTCTGCTCTCCCATGCCTCCACCTGGGATTCACGTGGCTGGTTGTTGATGTTGTTTTCTTCTGGGGTGTTTCAAACTATCAAAGTCAGACACCAGGGTTTTTTGAGAATATGTTTTCTTCTTTTTTCTTTTTTCTTCTGGGGTGTTTCACAGACAGTTCTAGGGGTTGATGCCTTTTCCATTCTTTTCAGCCATCGTTCCTTCGAAAAAAACCAGCCATTTCCTGAGGGTTTTTGGTGGTTTCCTCAAAAAGAAGAATCCCTGGAAAGAATGGAGAAGTTACCCCTAGAAAAGTATCAAAGTCAGACACCTGTTTTTTTTGAGACCTCGCAAAACGGGGATGAATCTATGCCTGGTTCGAATTGATTTTGCGCTACCCCAAGAGAAAGTGGCATCATCCCCACCCCAACAAAAGGGCGATGTACAGTTGGGTGAGTTAGTAGATGGCAGAATTCCCTTCATGTCGGTAAAGGGGGTGACCAGACCAAGATGGAATTAAAATCGCCATTTGTCACCCAACTGGGTCTTGTCCTGAAGTACAGGGGAAACCATGTATGGGCGTGTTTTTTTTTTAGTGGACCCCCTCCCCATTTTTCTGGTTGTTGTTTTGATTTCCCTTTTAAAACCCACCAAAAGGGGCCCCCAGGGCCTTAAAAAAACGAGCCACCCGTATGGAAAGGGCAAAGTGCCGTAGGTGACGTGACACCGTGTCTCCCAGGCCACATCTGGTTGGGTCTTTGTTGGAGTACCCTGGGTAGGTGTTAAATGGAAGCCAAAGGAAAACCAAGCGTTGTTTTGCGGTTTGACAGGAAAACCACATGGAAACCAACAACTGCTCAGTGGTTTTACAGGAGAACCGAACTGCGCCCATAGGTGTCCTTTTTGGTTGGTTTGCTCAAAAGAAAATAGAGGGCGATTCCTGGTTTAGATGCTTGGTTTATGCCCTCCATTTACCAGTTGGAAACCCATCTATTTTTCCAGGGCTCCTTAAAAGATACATTTTGCACATTTGAAACATGGCTTTTTCCGCCAAAACAAAGGGATACCACAATTTTTCAAGGCAATGTTCAGGTGTATAATGTAAGGATCCCTGTTTTCCAAAAGGCCCCGTATGGTTGCGCCACTTCAGTGGCTCAGAGCGAAGAGGAACGAGCCGCCCTTCCGTCAGGTGGGCTGGCACGAGCCTCTGCCGTCCGCATCGGCTGGTGGCTCCGAGCGGTCGTCGCGGGCCTTTGCGCGGCTGGTTCCCCGCCTCAGAGAGTCGGAGAGGGAGAGGTGGCGTGGATTCCGGGAAACCAAGACTTTCATTTCCTGGAATGAATATTTAGTATGTTCCATTGTTTGTTCCCCTGTTGTTTTGCTTTCCCTTGTTTTCCTATACTTTCCTTTATTATCTCTTGTTGATTTTCCTTTTTGAGGGAGTCGATGTCACCACTCGCAGTAAAGCTTAAGCAAATGAAAGTATATGCCTCGTCTTTTTGAAGGTTGGGGCCTCCCATTTTGGTATGAGTTTTCCTTTCCCTTTCAAATCACCAATCTGGTGTTCTAAAGAAAATGCACGTATCTACGAACCAAAACTTGTAAAATCCATGCGGTTCTAAGATTCTTTTAGTTTGGATAGCATCGCCTATCCTTCACAATTTCGTACCAAGAGTCAGCTCGGGTTTTGGTCGCAGCTCTTGCATGGCCGAGATTCGACTTGGTTTCCTCGAATGCACTTCTTTGGTCCTTTTTTCGAAGGGTCAAGGGACCAGACTCATTCTATTTGTGCAGAGAGTTGTAATGTCGACCCCAGTTTTTTTTCAGAACCCCTGGTTGATGTTGATTGGGGGGTGTCCAATTCCTTTTTTGGGGAGTTGGATCACTTTTGGGCCCAACACCACCAAGGAACATCACCATCTCGGGGGTCTCCTTATGTTTGACTCCCCAACTAATTTGGAGATGGCCATTATTTTCAGGGATTCCCCAACTTGTCCTGAAACCCCACCACGTAGTTTAGTGCATGGTTGTCACCCACCTCTGAAAGAATTCAGACAACTATCATAAAGGTTGCTCTGGGGAAGCAAGTCACCACGGCTCACCCACCATGGCGACACCTACTTCCTCAAAAACGCCTGGTGTACTTTGGTTTTCCCTTTGGCACCCAAATCAATGTTGGGTTGCCAACGGGAACCCCAAAGAAGATCGTTAACACAACAGTGGCTTTGACTTGTTAATTTAAGCAGTGGCGATGTCTTCCCCTTTCTTTCCAGGGATTCCCCCAAATGTCGTGAACCGTCACCCCATCAACCATCAAGTAGCATCAGCTGGTGGTTTGGATTGGCTTGGGAATTTTAACCCCTGGTTCTTGGGTTTGGACATCACCCCGGGACACCTCCAAATTCCGCCCTTTTCGAGGGAAGCCTGCTTGTTCCTGCCAGGGTTTGGGTTTGTCTGGTCTCAAAATGGAAATAGGGACCCACCAAAATAAAGGCAAGGTTTCCTCTTGGCTCTGTACAAATCAATCCAAAAAAAAACCATTTTGCGACAACACCATCAGCCATACTGTGGATGGACGAAATCCTGCAGCACCTAGCAACCCCTGGAAGGATGATTCCCCTGGAAATACCAACAATCGTTTCAGCCATGGTTTCATTTCGTGGTGCGAACGGATTTCGTCCAACAGTACGCGACATGGTTGGTTTCCCATAAATCCCACAAGGGCTTGCCCTATTTTGACCCCCCCCCCGGGTGCCATAGACACTTAAGTCAATTTTGCAACCCAAGAGCCTTAACAAAACCACTTGCCCTACAAGAAGGCGGTTGCAAAGCGACCCTAAACAATCGACCCTAAAAACTGACCCATCTTTGCAAAATCTTTGACAAAACCCTAAGATAATCTTTAACAACATCTTTAACAAATCTTTAACAAATCTTTAACAAATCTTTCACAACATCTTTCACAAAATCTTGCAAATCGACCCCAAGAAGTCCATCCCCCCCGAGGTGCTGCTGCAGTTCAGCCGTTCCGTGGCGCCGCTGGAGGCCGCCTTGGCCAACTCCGAGAGCTTGGCGCCGCTGCGAAGCTTCGGCGCATTTGGCCAAGGGCTGGGTTTTAAAGGGAGGCCAAAAGGAAGAGGTCCCCCTGATTTTTGAGAAAACCCGAAATATGACCACAATCGGATTGGATAGAATTCCTGACCACAATCGTTCTTAATGACCAGTCCTTCGGTGCATGTTGCTTGGATGTTAGGACTTTAACTTTTTGCAAACTCATGGGTTTTCCATGAAACCTGCTAAAGGTTAAAAACTTTTAGCAGGGGAGCAGACAGCAACCGAGGAAACCAGCTGCGGCAGAAGGGCCACGACTGGCGGCTGCCGTCCGGGGCCAAGCTGCTGGTGCCTTGCTGGACTCAAGAACGGGCGGACGGTCGGGCGGTGTGGTTCTCTGGGTTCATCCCAGGGAAACACGAGAAACAAATCGCGGAGAAACACACTGGGGTCATGCATGATGTTGGTTCCGTTTGATAGCGGTGATCAAAGTCGGAAAATGTTGTTTCCCTTTAACCCATCACTTAGGGGGTGACTTTGATCATGATAAAATAATGAGGCCAGTTTTGACGGCAACGGCGAGGAGGGAACAGGCGGAGGGTTCGAGCGGCGCCCGAACCCTCCCCCCCCCAGGTTTAGGGCGTTTTGCTAGGTCCCTCAGTAGTGCCCGACCTCTCACCCCTTTTTTGGGGAAGGGAGGGTTCCTCGTGTCTAAAATAGACGACAGAAAAAAGTGGGTACCAACTTATTCTAACCTCTCAAATCTGGAGGACCTAGGTTTCCGCGCAAGTTCTAGCAAGACCTGGATAAACCTTCGCCATCGTGGCAGAACCAAAGTCAATGGCACAGTTGGTGTTGGTTGGCAAAATTGCAAACCTTTGGGTGTGAACCATAGGTTAACCATCGGTGGGAACTAGTGGTGTGTCCTGTTTTTTTTTTTTTTTGTTGGGTATGGGCAAAATTAAAGCACCAGGGTACCGCGGGTTTTTGTCCATGCTGCCATTTACCAGGGTTCCGTTTTGGGGTTTCCCTATGTTTGACCCACGCCCACCTCAAAATTTGTTTTGGTCAAACAATTCCCCAAAAGGGGATCGAGAGTAAAAGGGTCCGTGCTTGGGGGGGATCGAAAAGGAGATTCATGTGAACTTGCAAAAGAGCAAGTGGCTGTGGTTGTCAAAAATAGACGGAAACCCGAGAATGGAACCCTGGTAGACGGAAACATGGAGTAAAAGCTGTGGTCCCCTGGTGGTTGAATTTTGACTCATACCCAAGTGACCAATTAGCAGTGTTGCAAACCATATCTCAAGTTAGCTAATCTCTCAACCTACTGAGAATTAATCTGGGCGTCAAACTTGAGAAATTGAGTTTGGAGGACAAACTGGGGCGTTCGGCTTGGTAGTCAGAACTAGCTATCGCGAGTGCGCAATGGTAACCCCCTGCGTACTGGAACCTTCAAAAGTGGCATTTTTAGTGAAAGCCACTGGTGAATTGCAACTGTTGAAGGGGAAATCCAGGAAATCCAGTGACCCCTGAAATAAAATGGTTACTTCTTTGGCCCGTCTTTTTTTGTTCCTCCAACGAAATCCAGCGACCCCTGAGAACGTTTGCTTGCTTCTTTGGCCAGTCCGCTCGATCGACAGGGCGTTTTGGTTCCTACGAGGAGGAACCAAGTCCGTCCGTCCAACCCGGACAATGGCCATGCCCAGAAGCATCCGTAACGACACCAAAATCTTGGGTTGGAATCAATGTCCCCAGAAGTGCATTTTGCTTGGATGTTAGGACTTCAACAATTTGCCAACCAATGGGGTTTCCATTGAACCACTGAAAGTTAACCTTCTAGCAGGGGAGCAGACAGCAACCGAGTCCCGGTTGCCCAGTGGTGCCAATCCCTTTGTTCATTTCTTTTTTGGAAAGGGTTTCCCTTTAAGGTCAACCAGCCAAAGAAGGATGCTGATTCGTTTTTCCTATGGCCACTGGGCATCTTAAATCTAGTTGGTCAAAGAAGGGGTTCTGCGTTTCGGGGTTTTGGTTCTGAATCGATGTGCCTTCTTTGCTGCTGTGCTTCTTGTTGTTGCCGTTTTCCTTCTTGGCCTTGCGGGGCTAATCGGTGGTCTGGATTGGGTGCGTTGGGTTTTTGAATCCCTGCTTCTTGTGGAGGGCCTCCTCAACCACCAAACCACCAAAGAAGCTGAATCACATCAGCCTGAACTTTTTGAAAAAAATAGGGGCCGCACGTGGTACGTACTCCGAACGTGGAACGCCCAAGATTGACCTCCTCTTGTCAAGGTGAGCCCTGAAGACTTTGCGAGCGTGGCTCTACAGGTGCGTTTCATGCACCTTGGATATTGCGGGATGTGGGTGGCTCGTCTTGTTTGAGGGTATACCCTTGTTTGGGCGGCTTTAAAGGAAGACCAAAAGCAACACCCACATCTTCGGAGGTCCGATTCATAGTTAAAGCCACACCCATGTGGACATGAAGTTTTAGTTGGGGACCTTGTGGTGGACATGATTTAGGTGTGGAATCATGTCCGCCAGAGCCTTTGAAGTCATAGCCGTTGCGTGGAACAGGAATTTGTGTGGTTTCTCAAAAGATGGGGCGAAAGGAATGGGGGAACGTCGGCCAGGGTTTCATCCGTTTCCCTTTTTGGAACGTCTTAGTCAGGTCTCCTTAAAAGATACATTTTGCCCATTTGAAACATGGTTTTGTCCACCAAAATAAAGGGACACCACCATGTACAAGGCAATGTTCAGGTGTATGATGTAAGGATCCCTGTTAGTGGAAGCCACCAGTAAAGCAACTTGTTTGAAAGGGAAATCCAATGACCCTTGTCAGAACCCTGGACACACCTTGAACCTTGGGGATTATCTCTGGAGCCTGGGCAAAGCCCAGAACTTGTTTTGGTCCAAAGGATCCAAGCGTCGTGTTCCCGAACGCCGTGTTTCTTCAAGTAAGCCTTGGCGGCTGTTGGATCTTTAACCTTCAAGTCTTCGTGTCGGGTTTTAATTGGCCTGCAACTTCTTTTCTCCCTGGCCAGCGGAAAGGATGATGAGCTACAGACCAATTGCATGCGGGAAGCAGACAGTTAAGCACTGCTCTCTACTGCTGGGCAACGGATCTTTCGACTTGAACGCTTTTTGGATTCCCCGATGTTCTTTTGACCAGCTTTTGTGAACAACTTTTTGCTGGATCAGCACCCAGGTCCAGTGCCAATCGTCACATAGAAGCCGCGGGACCGGGGGACTTGGCGAAGCGAATCCACCGAAGAGTAAAAGAGGGAGCCGACCAAAGAACCAGGGGGAGGAACAGGAGAAACCCACACAAAACGCGCAGGCAGATATCCAAACCGTTTTCTAGAATTATCCTTCCCAAAACGTTTGCAGACAGGGGGATTCCTTCAGCTGAAAACCAAAAGGGACGCGTTCTGTTGGCTTTCTAGGCACTGGAGGCTTCTTGTTTGTTTGTTTGTTTGTTTGCTTGCTTGCTTGCTTGTTTGTATGGTTGGTTGCTCGATCGGTCGGTCAGTCGGTCGGTGGGTTGGTTGACTGGTTGGGTTGGGCTGGTTGGTTGGCTGTCTTTTTCTCCTTCGTTGCTTTCGTTGGGATGCGTGGGTCCCAGAACGCGATCCGAAAACCTGCGGCCCGTCCGAAGTCCCGAGGACCTTGCAGCCGTGCCACGTCTTGGTGGACGAGGCCTGGGCCGCCTTCGTCTACGAGGCGGGGCCTTGGGGCTGTCGTGAAGGCTTTTCGGTTGGGAGGTTCCACCGGAGCCACGTGTTCACGCGGCTAGGTGAAGATTGGTAGGGGGAAGTGCATCATGGTAATTATCCTTCAGGCAACCGACATGAGTTGATGCGTTGTCCTCAAAATCGATTTGGGTAGGCTGCCTTCGCCGCCTTTTTAGTTTCTTTGCATGGTTCTGGCTAGCCTATGCTTAATACCGACCGGTTTTGGTTCTGACTCAAATGACCTTCTGGTTTCGCCCTGGAAGTGTCCAAATTTTTAGTGGCGACAAAAGGCGATCGCCTTTCACTTTTGGGCCAAACGGAAGACCGACGTCTGTTTCGGGGGTCCAAATCCTACAAAAAGGCACCCATGGATTCATGTGTTATTGGCTGGGGAAACCACAAAAGCAACAATTTTGGGGGTTCGTTGGGGGTTCCCTCATGTATGAGTTTTGATTGGGGGAGTTCGTTGGGTTTAGGGCCACGTTCATTTGGGGCCATTTTCATATTGACACACACCCATGTGCGGAAAGCTTTTTGTGATCAGTGCCTCTCACTGTGGGCAGACTATATGGGTGTGTGTGTGTGTGTGCGTCTTTCTTTAGAGGACCCCACCCCCCCCTCCCCAAATGTTGGGTTTGCCTTTTGGCGTTCCTTTAAAACCACAAAAAAGGTGCCCCCTCAAAAAAGACACACCCGCATGTGGACAAAGTCAGACAAAGAAACACGTTTTCTCCGAGGACAAGTTTCTGTGACAAGGGAAGCCTTCCGAAGTAAGAACGATGATAATGACCCATGGGAATACGTTTTTTTGGCTGCAACCTACTTTTTGTTTTTCCATCTCGGACCTTGAATAGCTTTTTCGGAAGATTTCCTCGCCAAAGAACAAGTTGTCACTGTGAAGACCATGTTAGACACCAGTTTATCAAACGATGGTTTATCAAACAGTGTGTTTGTGTTGTGTGTGTGTGCGTGTGCTTTCGAGGGTAATTACCCGTTTTGGGGTCCCTGTTTTACAGGGAAGCCAAAGGCAAACCACCCATTGTTATGTCCCCTAAAAAGTATAAAAATACTCAGGGTACCCCCAAAAGAGTCGTTTTCCTTTCGGCCCCTTTGAACATCGAAAAGGGGTACCCTCCAAAAAAGGTACACTCATTCCCTGTGCTCCTGGCCTTTCGTCACTTTTTGGGGCTGCACCATTTTGGTACATAAAAATATCCTGGACTTGTTCTGGCCAATCCACTCGATCGGAAGTGAGAGGGACACCAAAAGGCAGACAACCAGCCACTGCAATCAACCATTGCAGGGGTCCCTTTTGGAAACAAGCTCTCGGAATCTGTTTTTCTAGGGGTACCTTCCCCATTCTTTCCAGTGGATCTTCTTTCTACAAAACCTCCTTGGAAACCCAGAGGCAAACGGATCCGGCTTTTGGAAGGAACGATGGTTGAAACAAGTGGGGATCAACCCCTAGAATTGTGTTTGCAACGCTTCCTATTCAGTGAACCACACCCACACCCAGTAAGGCCTCGTTTTGAACCACGGTCAACCCCTAGAGTTTGCAGTTCCCCCACATGAGGGCTGCGCAGTTGCAATGTTGACCCTACATGAATCGACCCCAGTTTCTTTTTTTTTTACGGGGGTGTTTTTGGGTTTGGCGCGGGAATCAGACCACTTTTGGAGGGGCCAAGACCACTTTCCCGAATTGAATAAGCTGGGGTTGATTAGTATGGGTCTGAATTTTAATTCGGGACCCTTTGGACATATTATCAGGGGATCCGCGTCCACCAACCACTTTTGGAGGGGGGCCTTTTTCAGGCCTGCGCCACGCTGCCCTCGCGCCTGCGGGTGGCAGTGAGGCGTGCAGAGACCTACGGCTACGTGGACACTTGGAAAGCACGCCCCAACGGGACGCAACGAAGGCAAGGGATAGTCTTCCAAACAGAAAGTCCTGTCAGTTTCCACTTGGATGTTCAGCCAAGTCCGTAAGTGGTTAGCCACTTTGAGTACAGCCCCCTTATAAGGTTAAGCCCGGTTAAGCCCACTGAATGGGGGACCCAACAACTTTCTAGGGGTTGATTCCCATCAACAATGGGAGGCTGAAGTCCTTTTTTTTGGGGGGGGGAGGGGGAGTTGACACCATCAGATATTTTTTCAGGGGTTGACTTTTTTCCATTATTTTCAAGCATCGTTCTTTCCAAAAGCCGGATCCTTTTCCCTGGGTTTCAAAGGAGGTTTTCTAGAAAGATTCGGATCCCTGGAAAGAATGGGGAAGGTACCCCTAGAGAAATGGGTAGATGCGTCATATTCGAAGCCACATCCTCAAAGCCGATTCGAGTAGACGAAGGTTAGTATGGGAGAGTCCCCTTGCCACAAATGGGTGCCTGAAGGCCGCCTGAGAAAAAAATATTGACATGGTTCTGGGTAGACTATTCTAATACCAAGTTTTGCTTGTGACTCAACTGGGTGCGGCTCAAAGATTGGAATCTTTGCCCATTGTGGACCTGGAAAAGTAGACTCCAAACTGCGGCTCCCAAGTCTTCCTGTTGGCTGAAAAGGGTACCCGCCAAAGAATAACACACCCATATAGCCCTGATACAACTCAATCAATCACACCAAGTAGAACCGTCTTGGTTTGGGGTGCTGCAAAGGGTACCCTTCAGAAGCACACACACACACAAATCATCCCCGGCCGCCCGTGTAGGCCTGAGTATAACACCAATCAAGCCAAGTAAGACTTTTCAATCATGGCCCGCAGCACCCCCCCCCGTCCCACTAACAGAAGGCAGCTGTGGGTAGGTACCTTGAAGATCAAGTTTTGAGAGCTGACCTCTTGTCAGCTGCCATGGCAAGGGTGGGAGGGTAGCCCTCAAATTCTCAAGGAGGATGCGGAGGATCCCAACGTGGTGTTGGTGAAGCGTACCTTCCTCAGCGTCCCGGTGACCAAACTGCTGGCGGCGCGCAGCTTGGCTCGGCCCTGCCAAAAAGCTCGGTTCTGCCGTTTTGGTTCCGGAAAACTGGTGAGTTTGGGGGTGGTTTGTGGCTAGGGGCTTGGGTTTTGGGTGGCTCACAGACTCAACAAAGGTGATCCAGGATCACATATGGATTCCTGAAATCGAACGGCCCAATGAACGTTGCAAAGCTGCCCCAGAAATTCGCAAAAAAATGCCAAGACGGATATCTCCAGCGCAGGTAACATAGAGGTGTTCAACACTGACTATCCACCAAGCAGCTGAACAATGGATGCGGTGGTTTTGGCCTGTTTGACTTTGGCTTACTTGGTGACTCGGCGCCATTTCTGACTGCGCCCTTTTTGCAAGCTTGGCTTGCTGGCTTGGGCTCAGGGTGGTTGCTGTTGAATGTGGCTTGGGAACGTCCACTGGCTCGTTGCTCGACAACTCCTCCGGTTTCGTTGCCGACCATGAGGATGTGTTGAGCAACAAGCTAGCTTTTCCGCAAGGGCCAGGCAGCAAACAATGAATGTTGTCACATGTGTGGCTCGGTCAAAACACACACCTTTACTTGCTGGTTCTCAGCATGAACTCAACTGGGGTTTTGGGAATAACCGCAAGAGGATCCCCGTGAATGAAGCCACCAGTTGGATGGTTTTTGCTGGGCTCTCCCTCATTCCCTTCTGAACAGCCAGCAAGTTGACTTGGAATTGCTCGGCATGATGAACCCTCTACCAGGGATCGAGTTTACACAGCCACGACAAGGATCAACAGTTCAGCGAAAGGTGTGAAGCCTTCAGCCCCACTCGATCAAGAAGGTTTTCAATACGAATTCTAGAATGACCATAATTCCATAAAAATCTTCTTAAGAATGACAAACACGAGACGTAGAGAAGCACAACACCTGCTGGTGCAATAGGCAGGGAATGAGACATGGAATGCCCTAAGCCATCCAACTGGTGGTTTTCCTTTATTCGCGACTCCCCCAATTCGGTTCATTCCCAAACCCTCATTCCATCTCTCATTCCCTACCTATTGCACCAGCTAGGTTTCTTCTCAGCAACGGATTCCCTACCTCTTTGGTTTCCTTGGGGGGCCAAAGCCTGGGTTCACTCCTAACACCCGGCTTTGAGCATTCCCCGCGATTTCGCCCCAAGAAACCCGCGCCCATGTGGGGATGGGTCAAAATGAAACCAGGAATTGGACCGCCAGGATTCCATTTGGGGTTCGCCAACATCCCAATGTCCATAAATCCCAATGCAAGGCGGAGTTCCATTTGGGTTTGCCGCCTGTCCATATTTGCCACCTATTTTTGACCCACACCCCTGTGCTTCGCCCCTCGCCGCCCGCTCCTCGCGCCACTCTTCGCGCGCCTCAGGCTCTGTGGCGCAGTCCACCACCGAGGCGCACGCAGCGGCCGCCAACCCCCGGAGGTTTCTGCCCTGAGCGCAAGCGGAGAAGCGGAAGGCTGAGCTCCGAATGTACAGCTCACTTCCTGAGTTCATGAACTTTAAACTTTTTGGAAAGACCATGTTGGTGGTAAGTATACAAAGTTTGGGGACCTTGTTTGGGCCATCCACTCAGCAAGTGAGACAGAAAGGCGCTTGTGCCGGAAGAATGCACCAGTGCTTAGAGATAGGACTTAGGATGCCACGCCCCAGGAAGGTTCTCAGAAGTGCAGCCCACCGCTGAAAAGAAGATCGTCTATGTGGTATGCGCCTTTTCACCTTGTACTGTATCCAACAAAGAAAGCACAAGTTGCTGAGAAGCTTCCGGGGGTGCCTTTGGTTGGCGAAAGTTTTGTCCATCGAGCCGGCGTTTGCTTTTAGCTTGCGCCTGCGCATGAGCCGATTCGGCCGATGGAGAAAAAAACACAACGGCGGCTTGCTGCGGGCCGTTTTTGTTCGCCACTCGCCCCAAAAGAGGGTTCTTCCACTTCCCTGTTGTTGCATGTTTTGTTAGGGGTTCCACTTCTCTGTTGTTGCATGTTTTGTTAGGTTTTTGGCTTTGTTCATGTTTTGTTAGGTTTTGTTCATTTTGTTCATTTTTAGTAGTGGGCTGCGAAAAAGGAGTTCCCTTCTCGCCATACCAAGGCTCGGGAAGTCCATGTTCACTTTCAGCCAGAAGCGATTCTTTTTGTAGCGAGGTCTGGCCAAGTTGAGGGACCGTATGGGTGGCTCGTCTTTTTGTTGAGGGTACCCTTAGGTTCAGGGTTGTGGGATCAAGGGGTTTATTCCCACTTCTGTGATACAAGGAAATCCCCCCTGTATATGGGGTGTTAGTCTTTGGGAAGCCCTTTTTGTTGCATCACAGAAGTGGTCATTTCCCACAACCCTGCTTGGGTTTGTTTTAAGGGAAGCCACGCGGTTTTACACTTCGTTGGGTTCCCTCATTTTGAGGCACACCGTATGAAGGAGGAACGATGCTTGTTTTTGAGCAAACCATTGTGTTACTGAACATACGCGGGTGATGCCAAGTGTTGGCTGTGCAATACCACAAGGATTGCCCCAAGCTAAAAGCAACATGCATGTCACATCTTTTGGGCCTGCGGCCTCTAGCCGGCTACGCCGCTTTGTTATACCATGTCATGTCAAGTTATGCCATGTCATTTTCTTGTGTGAAGCGTATCCTATGCTATGGTATGTCTTGTTAGGTTATGCATGTTGCCCACTCCAGCCATAGCAGTTACCACGTCATTTATCCTGTGCTATGATATGCTATGATGTGCTTGGTTAGATTATGCAATTTGCCCACTCCAGCCATCAACATATCCCAGATGATGCTGGGAATGCCAGCTTTCTGAGCCCCAGCAGGGCCCCAACCGAGTCAAATCACATGGGGTCGCGCGCGCCAGAGGCCCCAGAACAACCAGCCGAAAAAGAACAGCTCGCAAGCCAGCCCGGAAACGCAAGCGCAAGAAAACACTGCAAGCAGCGTTTTGTGGCCGGGTGCGCGCGCGCGCGCGCCACAAGGCCCAAAAACACAAGGACTGCACAGCACACGAGCCAGCCACAGAAGAAGCAAAACAAACAGAACATCAGCCCAACGCGCAGCACACATTTTTTGACGCATTTTTTTGACGGTACTTACGGCCTTTTGTAGGGCAAGGAACTAGCATCGCCAGCATTCCCGGCAGCGCTTGGCCCCAAAATGCGCGAAAATGAGACTTGCTTATAGGTACCGACGGAAAATCAGTGCTTCATGGGTTGCAAGTCTTTTTTTTGGAGGAAGTCTTGATGCAGACCATGCCCCGCTGAAGCGTTGTCCCAGGCCCAACTCCAGACCCTGATGATACTTATGATGTCAGCGGCCAGAAAATTTCTGGGTGTTTTAGGAGACCCCTACCATTTTTACCGAGTTCCGGTGGTTTAGCTACCCTTTGGGCAAAAACACATGCGAGCTGCGTCGTTTCCAGCTGCACGTTGGCCATACAAAGTAATTAAATACACTTCGCGGCACTTGCAAACGTGCTAGTGAACACCATCCATGGGATGCCTTGGTCATCAAAACTACGACTCGGGCGTGGACCGCCGTTGCATGTTTTGCGGGCTGCATTAAGTCGTTCACCCCTGCAAAGCTTCCTTTAATCTGTCAAAGGCCGAGCAGTGCAATAATGTGTTTTTTAGGAGTTTTAGGAGTTTCTTTTTTTGCGGCAAAAAGTGCTACGATTTCCAAACTACCCAATCAAAGGCGGAAAATACCATTTTTTCCAGGAGGACGAGGTCCAGGTTTTTCGACTTTGTTTTGCCCGGTGTGGCTGTAGAGGAGGGCGAAGGAGGCGGCGGAGCGGTGCCTTGTCGACCCGCTCCAACGCTGCAATCGGCGGTGGGGGGGCGATTCGGCGAGGCTGCTGGCCTTCTCTGACTGCGGACATTGAGGCTTGCTGTGTCGACCTTGTTTTGCCCGGCGTGCCACTGCGGCAGTTTCGAAGCCCGAAGACTGGAAACCTTTACGGAAGGCCGTTTACAACAGCAAGGCACGCCGGCCGTCTCGTCGCAAGCCGCAGTCTCGCCGCAAGCCTCATCAAAGTGACGGTCAACAACTTCACGAAAAGCGATGTCAGACAAGAATGTGTTTTTGATTGTTGGCTCCTGCTTGGACGCAGGAAGCAAGCTGGGTTTGAAGCTTGGGTCAGCATCACTCTCAACCAGGGCATGGAAGGTGCCGGTGAGGCAGCCGCGCCAGCTGGGTTCAGGCGCGTGTGTTGCGCTTTGCGCCCCAACCATGGGCTTCGTGGCTCGCAGGCTGTTATTTATTGGGAGATGGGGTGGTTAGCTCGCAGGGAGGAAGAGGAAGGCGAGCCTGAAGAAGCAGAAACCCTGCCAGAAAGCAAAAAAAGAAAGCGACGCGTGGCTGCGGTGGTTGAAGGACAGGGTTGCTGCGCCTGTAAGTTTGAAAGGGGCGGCTTCTTTCCTTGCGGCAGGAGAAAAGCGTTGCGAAGCTGTAAGGCCATTTTGTTGGCTTTGTTTTGCCTGCGCTCTTCTCAATTTCTAGTTGTTTAGTTTTTGGATGGCAGGTGTACATTGAAGAAGAAGCCAGGCAGTGACTTCTGCGGCAACCACGCCAAGAGCAAGAACTTTCCCAGAGTGAAGAAAGATGTGTTTGGGAAGGCAAAGGAAGAGTCGCTAGAAGCTTTGGCGCCGCAAGAAGAAATCAAAGGAGCCATTTTGTTTATCTCTTTTGTATATATATATATATGTATATGGGTTTGCAACGGTCATTTCTTGAAAAAGGCAATGTCAGACAACGACGCGGGCCCTGGCGAGAATCTCTGTCCACTTGATTCCGTGTTGCGAAACAAGGGCGGCGACGCAGAACTTTGGCAAGTTGCGAGCTCCCAAAAATACAAAGAAGGAAAGCAGTCAGTAAACATGTGCATTCTTTACTTTAAAACTGTCCACTTTGAAAGGCTTTGGCACGGAGTCCGCGCCAAGAGGTTATTTTCCTCAGAAACAGCCCACCTGCTGTCGACACAAAGGGAATGCTGTACGGAACGTCGTTCTGCCGGCATTGGCGGCTTGATCAGGGGTGGCGCCTGGGATACCGAAGGTTCCATTGCATTGGCTCTCGCCTTGGCGGCTTCCAGGCTTACAAGACGGCCGGCGCGCTTTGCTGTTGTAGCGGGGTTTTCGTGAGGGTTTCCAGGCTTCGGGCTTCGAAACAGCCATTTGCGACGCTCCAGCTTCGGTCCTGGTCCCCGCCGCTTTTGGAGCGTGCGCAGTCGGGGGTTGGCGCTTGGGATACCGAAGGTTCCATCGCATTGTCTCTTGAGGGCTTCCAGCCTTCGCTGTCAGCAATGGCGAAAGAAAGCCAAGCAGCAACGTCATAAGGGTCAACACTGTGTCCTAACATCAGACGCGCAACCAGCACAACCTCATACGCGTTGAGAGCATAGTGTTACAACCAGCCGCGCGTTTGGGAACCTCGCTACCGCCGCACGCTCCAAGGCGGGGTCGGCGGATTTGTCTTCAGGCCCCTTCAGGCGATTGAGTCATTTGTGCGCTGGCGGCCACGCTTGTTCCAACCTAAAGCGAGCAGGAGCGGCCAGTTTTTCGGAGTTTCTTCCATGCTTGTTGCGTGTTGCGTAGAGGAGCCCCCCCCCCCCCCCCCGGAAAAACAAAGGATAAACAGCGGTTTACTTTGGTGAACGGTTTAGCAAATTCCTGCTTGGCTTCTTTCTTTGGCTCATTTTTGCAAAACCGACTTGAAATGACCTTTCAGTTTCGCCAATGTTGTGTCACCCCAAAAGGTGAACTTTTTCTGGGTCCTTTGGGCAACCCAGTTCTTTCAAAGGCTCAAGATCACCCCGCCCCCTGAGGAAACCCCAAACAACATTTTAAACGCGCCCTGGGGTTCAAAAAGGCTACCCTGGCCATAAACCCCTGGGCAAAAAATCATCAGGCGACACGAATGCCCCGCAAAACTTGAGTACGCCTTGGGGTTTTTTTTTGGGCTAGATATTTTTTCCATGTCTTGGTTTAACCATCGCCCCTTGGCTGTCAATGTCTTTGTGAACGCATACATTTAGTTGGGGGTGATCTGGAAAAGTCACCTCCGTCCATCAACAGACGGCCCTAGGTCTGGAAGCAGTGCTACGCCCAGTCGGACGTGAACGCGGTGTGCCAGAGTTCGCCCCAAGGCGCCGGTCGACACTTTGGCTTCTGGGTGCCGAGCCCGTAGCCTGCACCCCTCCCCCTCAGCCCCAAAAAGGTTGGCCATTTTAGCAGGTGGTTAAGCCCGGTGTAAATCTACTCCCCTCCAAAAAGCTGGGCATTTTAGTAGGTTCTCGTTCTGAAGAGTTGCCATGTTCGAGCTAGAGCTGTCAAAGTGCCCTTCGAGTACTGCCCTTCGAGTGGGTGGTTCTGCTGAAGGTGGTTTATTCCAGTGCAAATCTTTGTAACCAACTTAGAACCAAAAGTCAGCTTGGGTTTTGGGTGCTGATCAAA